GCTAAAAGGCCAGGATCTGATGGATTCACTGCTGAATTCTACAACCTTTAAGGATATTATATCACCTATATCTTCAAGCTCTTCAAAGAAATTGAAAAGAACAGAGTGCTTCCAAACTCATTCCTGGTAGCGAGCATCGCTCTGATCCCCACACCAGGTAAAGACTCAACTGAAAAGAAAACTGAAAACCACAGGCCAATCTATTTAATATTGATGCAAAAATCCTCCACAAGATATAAGTGAGTAGAATCCATCAAATCATCTAAAAGATCATACACCATGATGAAATAGTTTGTATTCTAGAGAGGCAAAGCTGTCTCAACATAAATCAATAAATCAATCAATAAAATACACCACATAAACTGAAGTAAGGACAAAAACCACACAGTCTTATCAATAGATGCAGAAAAGGTTTTTGACAAGATCCAACACTCCTTGATGATAAGTACCCTGAACAAAATAGGTATAGAAGGACTATAACTGAATTTGATAAAAGCTATTTATAACAAACCACTGGCTAATATCATGTTAAATGGGGAAAAAACAGAAAGTGTTCCCTCTAAAATCAGGAACAAGACAAAGGTACCCACTATCATGACGTTTATTCAACACAGTACTTGAAACATTAGCAAGAACAGTCAGGCAAGGGACAGAAATAAAAGGGATACATATAGGAAAGAACTCAAATTGTCATTATTTGCAAATGACTTGATACCCTACATAGAAGACCCAGAGAATTTCACCAAAAAACTCTTAGAATCAATAACCAGCTCAGCAATGTAGCAGGTTACAAAATTAACACACAAAAACCAATAGCATTTGTATATACCAATAATGAAGTCATTGAGAAAGAAATTATGAAAACAGTGCCATTTATGGTAGCATCAAGACAAATTAAGTACCAGGAATTAACCTAACCAAGGAAGTGAAAGACCTCTACAGAGAAAACTATAGTATTCTGAAAAAGGAGATTGAAGAGGACATCAGAAAAGGTAAAGATGTCCCTTGCCCCTGGATAGGCAGAACCAATATAATCAAAATGGCCATACTCCCAATCCTGTTATTCAAATTTAAAGAAATCCCAATTAAAACCCTGATGGCGTATTTTACAGAACTAGAAAAAATAATCCTAAAATTCATATGGAACCAGAAGAGACCTAGAATAGCAAAGCAGTCTTGGGAAAGGAGCAGAACAGGAGGCATCACATCAGACTTCAAGCTATACTGCAAAGCAACAGTAATAAAACAGTATGGTACTGGCACAAAAACAGGCTTGTGGATCAATGAAACAGAATAGAGGATGCAGAAACATCATTACACACATTCAGCTGTTCGATCTCTGATGAAGGTGTCAAAAGCATATAATGGTGGAAAGATGGACAACAAATAGTGCTGGTAAAGTGGGTATCAGCAGAAGACTGAAGCAGGACCCGTATCTCTCACCATGAATTAAACTACAATAAAAACTGGATCAAAGATCTCAACATTACAACAGAAACATGGACCCTACTAGAAGACAAAATATGTTAAACACTTGAAGTCATAGGTGTAGGAAAGGATTTTTAAACAATCCCCAATTGTACAAGAAATAATAACAATAATCAACAAATGGGATTACATCAAATTAAAAAGGTTTCTGCACTGCAAGTGAATCAATTAGTAGAGTGAAGAGACAACCAACAGAAAGGGAAAATTTTTGCCAGTTATTTCTCAGACAGAAGACTAATACCTAGAATGTACAAAAAACTCAAAAAAATTAGACTACCTAGATAGAAATCCCAATCAAGACATGGACAAATGAAATGAACAGGCTCTTCTCATCAAAAGTACAAATGGTCAACAAACATACGAAAAAACATTCAGTGTTTCTGCCATTAGAGAAATGCAAATTAAAACAATGCTGAGATTTCATTTTACACCAGAAAGAATGGCAATTATTAAGAAGTCAAAGCATAATAGGAAGTCAAAGAATTAAAAAAAAGGAGCCCTCCTACATTGTCGGTGGGAATACAAACTAGTACAGCCAGTATGGAAATCAGCACAGAGATTTGTCAAAGAACTGAAATTAGAAACTCCGCATGACCCAGCTGATCTAGGTATCATCTCCAAAGAGCTAAAGAGGTCGTACTACAGTGATGCATGCACACCCATGCATGCATGTGTAAATCAATGTTTATAGCAGAACGATTCAAAATGGCTAAATCCTGGAAGCAGCCTGAATACCCTTCAACGAGTGGGCAAAGAAAACGTGGTATCTGTACATAATGTAATACTACTCAGCTGTAAAGAAGATACATTTGAGGCATTTATAGGAGAATGGATGCATCTGAACAATATAATGTTGAGTGAAACAATGCAGTCGTACAAGCTTAAATACTTAGTGGTGTTTCTCATGTGGATAAGGCAAAGTACAATAGTAAAGGGTGACGAGAAGGAAACAAGAGCTCAGTAACCCCTTGCATATGGGGAAGGCGTACAGGAGACCAAGGACGAAGGCAGAGGGGAGGGGAAGGGAAAGTAAGTAGAATTCAGATGTGCCATGTACAGGAGCCTAATAACCTCAACGAATGTAAACACTGCACGCCATAGACATGAATAAGAATAATGATATCAAGGAGAATGAAGCGGGGACCTTTCGTTTAGAGGCAAAGGGAGGGGCGTGGAGAGGAAGGGGAAGGAGACTGAAAAAGGAAAGCTCTATTACGTCCTTGTACCCACTTCCCAAGGTAAATGTAAACACTACGTGCAGGAAACACGAACGGATAAAAGCAAAGAAAAAAGGTGCAAGGTCAACATGGCTGTATATCATCCCGTGGACTGGGGAGCAGAGAAAGCTGGTTTTCGGGGAGATTAAAGCAAATGCCCAGGTGAGAGCTTCGGGGAGGCCTTAGCAAGTTCCACCTTTCAGGTTCCAATGCACACTTCTTCCCCGAGTCCTGGTGCTTCCTGGCTGTTGAGTTCAATGAAAAATTCCCAGAGTCATGTAATGAGTGAATGGGTTGCTTTGGCTCATGCACTGGCCTTGCGATATGGGGGTGATATGGGTCTGCAGTAGCAGGAATGCACTGGGGTGTCTCTCCCCCCACAAGGCCGAGAGTGTCTGTGTCCTTCATTCATCAGCTCCCTCACTCATTCTCAAATTTTTGTGCAGTGAATATTTTTTCCTCATTGAGTTTATTGGTACATTTTAGGGATACAGTACAGTCGCCTTCATCATTGGGCTCTTGTACCTTTACATGACAGGTCTTGGATCTCATTTTTTCCACATTCCCCTGCCTTCCCTCCACCCCTTTGTGTAGTGTATATTGTTAGTGGCTGAAGATGAAATAAAACATAATCTTTGCGCTCAAATAATTTGGTTGTCTTGATTCTTCATTTTTAAGGTAGTTGGATGCGGGTGGGGGTCAGGGTTAGACTCTAAAATGTCAAAATTCTCTATTTGAGTTTGGTGGGCTTTTGGGGACTCAAAACCTAATGCTAGCTTATTTAGGGTTGATAGGTACTAAAGTACTTTGCAAACTAGAGTACTACCCACATACTCTTCACAAGTTGTACGTAGTCCTTCTGTTTGAGTTGGTCAGCTGAGAGCCTTGGCAGAGACGTGTATTAAATATACTCCTTAGGAAGCACTTGGTTTGAGAATAAAAGAAGTCTTAAAGCTCTTAAAGCTGTTTACTTTAGCCAGAGATATGCTCAACATATTTTAAGTTAGATATAATTTTTTATATTTATATTTTATTCTTTGAACTAAACAATAGTTTTGAAGCTTCTAATATTTTAGGAAAAGATGCTCTTTTGAAACCGAAGGACAAAAATCACTTCAAATAATAACTTTGGGTTTTTTGAGAAGACAAGTAAACAAAAACTAGCTGAAACAAAAATAATCCTCAACAAATGAGTTCCAGTGCCCCTGGGATTGGCCCGGGCATTTGGATGAATGTGCGTTCAGGGGACTTGGCTGAAATTCCCACTCTCAAACGATACTGGTAGATCCTGCTTGCGAGAGACCCCCAAACCATCCTTTCAGTGGATTGATTTCCAGGGACCCACTATGATATTTTCCTTTTTACGGTGACACTTAGAATTTATAGTTCTCTAAAGGGAACCCATTCAATGTTCATTGAGGTGAATACACTGAAAGCTCTTTCTTTCTTGCCCTGGAATCCAATGTTCCTAATTTCAACAGCAGGTTAACACCTAGGATGATAAAATATTAGAGGCAGAAGATGTGTAGAGGTCACTTATGCCAGACTTGGAGCCAGACATGGTGGCACACTCCTCTAATCCCAGCAATTGCAAGGCTGCGGCAGGAGGGTTGCCATGAGTTCAACGCCAGCCCGGGCTATCCAGCCTGAATTACATAGCCACCCTGTCTGAAAAAAAAAAAAAAAAAAAAAA